TCATTGAAAAAAAAACTTTTTCATTTTGCCGACGCGCATGGCTACGGCGACGCGCGCGCATACCAGAAACCGGAGACTTTTTTTTTTTGCCTAATGTACAAAACGTGTAGACAATAAGTTAAAGCTGTATTTACTGACAAAAGGAAAGCTATATACAAGCAAATAATTGTCCTTCATTTCAGTAGTTATTAGTCTAATTGCTCAGATGCCCCCCCCCCCAAAAAATAATAAGCCCTTGAAAATTTCTTTGGGCCATGCAATGTGCTTTTAAAAACGCAAGGGTATGCTTTTAGTAGCTGGGATTCTAACTGACTTCTCTGTGTAACATGATACTTTTGCTCTTTGAAAAGACTGGCCAGTTTCTTGTCAGGCTAGAACATGTTCATACATTTCTTAAACCGAATAAAAGTTTTCCAGTAAGACTATTCAGAAACTCTCGCGTCCAGTGCATAAATAAAAAATAAAGTCACCTCTTTTTAATTTTTGCCCAAATTTTTTTTACCAGTATTTGCCCGACAACAGCGATTTTGGTCAGAAAATTTAACAATCTTTAAAATATTATTAATAATTTGACTTATTTAATTTCAAAGGTTCAAACAGTGGGGCGCTGTGGTCCAATGGTTACGGTGTTCGACTTGTGTGCCGTGGTACATGGGCTCGAATCCTGACCATGGGAACATGGTGCTTGTGCTCTTGGGCAAGGCACTTTACCATTATTGCTTCGTCCTTCGGATGGGACGTAAAGCCGTAGGTCCCGTGTGTTGTGTAATGCACGTTAAAGAACCCAGTAATACTTGACGCTAAGAGTGGGGGTTTGCCATGGTGTTTCTGGCAGTGGCAGCAATTATGCTACATAATGGGTCTCATATGTTCATATACTTCATTTACCTGTCTTTGGTTGCATTCTCCCCCAGTGCTTTGTATCCTCTGGTAAAAGGCGCTATATAAATACAGTTATTATTATTATTATAAACACAATAGGAATATCCGAGTCTCATTCTTCCAATCTTTTGTAGTACTAAAAGTGTAAAACAAAACTTAAAACAAGTACGATAAGAACTCATTTGATAAAACTACCATGGTTGTGTATAGTGCAGCCTGGCACAAAATTGCTGATATCCTGCAGCGTCTTGTTTTGTACCTCTCATGTCAACTTCAACTCTTCCATCACTGACAGAGATCTAAAGGTGTTTTCAAGGTTTAAAAGCCTGGCACCCAGTTTTTTTTATCTTTAAAATTGGGAGCAGCAACCCAGAGTTTTTTTTTTTTAAAGTTGTTCCTGTTATTGGTTTGAAAGGTTAAACTTAGAAAGTCTGTCATGGCTATCAGCTTTTAACCCAGCTCTTGTCAACGGTACAGCTGTGGCTGATTTGGTGGGTTTTTTTTCTGGAACCATTTTGGCCGCAAAGATTGAAGTTTTCTTTGCCTGTGACAACTCCCGGTTTATCTGTTCGGACAGCTGGTCTTTTTAAGGTTTTTTTAGTGGGTGCTGAATAGAAGCTTGGTCATAGTGTGGAATACGACCGGACTCGAAGTTTTTCCACAGCATTTTGTGTTAGTGCAAGCAAGAGGGAGGTGGTTCGAATCTCACCCAAGGCATCTGGGCTGCTTTTCTTTTCTGCAGGAGTTCAGATGCCCTCGTAGTGCAGTGACATTTCTATCCTGCCGTTTTACCGCGCTTTATTGATTCTTATCGCAGTACGTGACACTTGAGCTTCCATGACAGTTTGCGAGACCCATTTATTTGTAACCTAGACATAAACTCTGCGGTGGCACGTGAGGATCCTACAGCAATATCCGCAAAGGCTTTTTCTGTTTGCCCACATCTGATGGAAAGTCCGGTACCGGGCTACCAGGTAGCAGAAAATCTCCAAAGCTTTTAGTGGTACTGTGTTAAGTGTTAACAGCAGATCATAAAGTTAAATGATGGGGGATGATCTTCTTACAAGTCGCTACTATGGATTCTACAACGGGATATCCCTTGTGCAACTGGGAACCGAACATCAGCAGGTAGGTTAACTCTTTGCATACAGCAAAGCTGAAATTAATTGCGCATTGTATTTTTAGTAGTTCCCAAGTTTTACTTTAGCAATAGAATTTGATATAGATCAGTGCCCAACTGAAAAACAAACATTTGCATGAATAGTTTCCCTGCAGTAGTCGCTGCTACATCAGATTCGAACCAGCCAGCCAATTCTGGCAAGCTCGGTGGTCAAGTGGTAAGACATCTGCACTAGAAAGCAGGAGGTGATGGATTTGAATTCCAACGGAGTCATTTTTTTCTCACTTTCACTCGTGGGGGGGGGGGGGGGGACCACACTGAGTATGCAGTGTTAATATGTCGGTGAAGGGCAAAAACCGCAAAACCTTATATTGAATTTACATCACCCCGACGCAAATTTCATTCTATGCATAGTTTCGTTGCGGTACCCACTGCAAACTGCAACATCAGATTCAAACCAGCCAATTGATCCTGTTAGCTTGGTGGTCGAGTGGAAAGACGTTTGCACTAAAGAGCAGGAGGTCGTGGGTTCGAGTTCCACCCGAGTGATTTTTTCTCACTTTCACAGGGGGGGGGGGGGAACACACTGAGTACATACAGTGTTTATACGTCGGTGAAGGACAAACTTATATTGAATACACATTTGCGGGTTTAATTTTTTTTATTTTAGTTTGAAATGCCTTGATGAAGTAAAATACAAAACACTCTTGTTTATGTAAATACAAAAAAATTGTGAATATTTTACTGAGTCAATAGGTATTTCAAATTTAGTGTTTCACGTTGTGCACGTAGCGTGAAAAACTACTGGACCAATAGAAAGCACTACCAGTACTTTGAAGCCAATAAATTTACTTTCCCTGACCTCAAAATGGGTTCGACTTACTGTACATGCAAAAAAAAATGTACTTTTAAACCTCCATGTACATTTAATCATTGTTTTGTTCGTGTCTGAATTTCCTCTGGTTCTGAAGGATTTGGCTGCCTGGTCAGCCAGTTGAGTTAAAAGCAGCAACTTTTATAACCACTGCATGAAAACGTTTGTGAAAAAAATGGCATCTGAATGTAGGCTAGTGGAATGTACAGTGAACTGGCTTAAGGAGTTTAGTAAAGGGAAAAACAATCCCACGACCTGAACTGTGTTTAATGACGCAATCATGGATTCCTAAATTATTCCTATATTTGGAATCCTATATTCCTAAATTAATCTAATTGTCATGCATGTAGGCCACCATAATTAAATAACTCTCTTAAACAGCACGGTTTACATGGATATTTTTCAGTTAAAAAACCCACCAAAACAAACAAATCCCTGCATTGTACACGCAATTGGAATAATATCTGTTTACTTAAAGGCCTGTCAGTCGTGGAATATCAGATTCAGTTGCAGTTTAAAGTCAACATATAACGGACATCTAATCTAATTGGACATCAACCATCCACAATAAGAAGAGCAGAGAAAATTTGATTAATCCACTTGGCGTACCATATTTTTCGCAAGCCCCACTCTTGGTAATCTATAAATCCTATATGAAACCTTTTTGTTTTGGCCTTGAATTTCTTCTGAAAGTCTTGGGAATTTCCCTTGTATTTGATTATTGTCCAATTCTTGTTTGGTGATTCTTTGAGTGGTGGTGTTTATGCTCCAAATACTTCCATATTTTTTTCCAAAGGATATTTTGTTCTACTTGTTGGATCCTGTTGCACTCAGCAGGCCACAAACGTCAAAAGCTAAAGGATTGTGGAATAGTTTACCCATCCCTATCAGAAACTCCGATACTGTGCCAATCTTCAAGAAGGCTCTCAAAACCCATTTTTTCCCCACACCATAGCTGGTCGTATGCCCTTTTTGTTTTTCTGTAGTTCTTTCTGTGGTTCTTCTTTCTTTGTTTCAGCGCCTTGTATCCTTTGGCAATTTGGCGCTCTATAAATCCAGTTATTATTATTATTATTATTATTATTATGAATTTGCAAAGGATTATGAATAAGAGTAGCACAAATTACACAAAAATCAGTTAGAGATTCTTCCAAATTTTCCAGATTTGTGGATTTGTGGATCGGGTACTCCACCAAATATTTTTCTGTGATTTATATTTTCCCAATCTCTCCCCTGAAAAATTCCAACTTTCAAGTCATTGATGACAGAACCGGTTGTTGCATCAATTCAAACCTGCTAGTTGACTCCTTCAATTTAAGCCGAGTAAAAAAAATATTATGGAGTTCTCGTCTGGCCTTTTTGAAAAATGAAGGAGGCGGGCGCTTTCTTTCCTCTTTTTTTTCACCAAGATGGTGCTTTTTCCAAGATGGCGGATGGAATCTTCAATTTTCTCGACTGTTTTGCTGATACAAAATTGTTTCCAGAGGAGGCATAACCCTCTCTACCTAGCTACAATTTTGTTGGAAACAAATAACAATATATATTTACAAAATATGTGTACCGTAAATGTATCAACTTAAAAAAAGAAATTTTAAAAAGGAGGCGGCCGAGTAAAAAACGAAGTGGGCAGGAACAAGACACTGGTTTATTTTTTACTCAGCCTTTTGTTATCAAATGGCTGAGATGTCTCCACTCTGTCAAGTGGGAAATCGTGAATGGGACTATCACACTGGTGAATTTGTTAGTTTTTCTCTAGAGCTTTATCTCCCAAAAATGTCTTTGATTAAGGGCAAAATAAATATATTAGAAGTGTAGGGCCTATATCTGCTCCATTCACAAGTACCCCCTCACCGGCAAAGAGAGTACAGTTGGGGGTGACCGACCGACGCCATCTTGCCTGACTGCAATTCATATGCTGCGAAGCACGGCCACTGCATGTACATAGTACAAATCCCCTGGTGTACGTGCGTCACACACAAGGAACAGTGCGCGTCAACCAGCGAAATGTCCCGCCCATGGGACGTCGTTACTAGGTAAAAGGGCGCCCTCTTTCTTCGGCGCATGGAGCCCATACACACTTATATTTAACCACAAATTCTTATTTGAAATTTTTTTTACTACAGGTCTTGAAATCGGAAAAGACCCAGTTGGAGGTTAAACTTTCCGAAGTTCACCAAGAGCTAGACTCCTATCGTACCCGGCAGCTCATTGCTCCCAATGAGGAAGTGTGCAGTCCAACGTCACCCAGAATGGAGTCAGGACTGGGGAGAAGTCTACACTCAGAACTCAGATCAGTAGTAAGTTTTCAAAATTGAAAAGTAGTGCACAGTTTGATAAAATCAATGTCTTACATTCTCGAAAGACTTAAAGGGCCCATGTATTTTTTTTAATATTTAATGTAATCCTTGAAAATGCACCTTTTTTCAATTAACATTTTGCCATTTTTAAGGGCAGTTTGTGCCTTTTTGATTTTTAAGCTAATGCATATTTCCATATTCATGAGCAAAAGTGTGATGTCATTTTGGGCAGAAAGCTCTTTGTTACAGCTGTTTCAGCACCACAATTTGCCAGAATTTTGTATATTTTGCTGTAGTAAATTTCATTTTCTTTGGTGATTTGTTGTTGTTTTAGTACATGACAGTTTTCCAATGAGCAAAGTTTAGTAAGCAATGCGCAAAGTTTTGTCACAAAATTTGTTCAATGCGCACAATTTGGATTCACAGTTTGAACAGAAAACTCCTAACTTAACAGTGTCTTTTTGAAGGGCAAAACCTAATTTGATTTATATCACCCCGACGCAAAATTCCATCTTATGAAGTGTCTTCCTGAAATGACATCACAGCAACAGTGCCCTCATTTGTCAGGAAAAGCATAGAATTAATAAGAAAATATTTATCCAAGTGCACTTTTCAATACAATTAACCAAAAAGGGATGCCAAATAGTTTTTATACATTTAAGAGAACAAAATTGCACAAAATATGTTTCTAAGAAAAATGGGTGTCATGGAAAAACCCATAATTAAACTAGTAGTGGTGGATTAACCTTATTAAATACAATGGAAAACCTGAACAGTATGCCATACATGGAAAATTGAGAATTTTGTAAAGAATGAACTATTATAGAAAGTATAGACTACCCGTTCCTTTCTTATTAAAAAAATACCTCCTTGGAGGAAGCAGCTACTCTCCAGCTATTCCAACAATGTCAATCTTAATTAGCTTCGTATAGATTTCCTACGAATTGGAACATCTACGTCAGAAGGAACCTATATATATCTTGAGATTTGCCTCTTACATGTTGCTTTAACCTTCACCCATTTTTAATTGAAATGGCAGGTTGTTTTGCCATCAGAAATAAGTCTCAGATGCACACTGCTCACCTGCACGTGCCTATTCACTTCCATTGCGAATTTTCCTTGTGTACATTAAATGATGTGAAAATTAACCCTTGCTCTAAAGACTTATAACTCTTAAAGGGAATGTACAACATTTGCTTTTGCTGCAATTTTAAGCAATAAATGGATTTGGAAGATTAGTATGTTATAGAAAATATTGTTAAACTGACTTGTTTCACGTTTTGGAAAAACCAAGAAAACCTATCATGTTCTTGTAGTCTGGCTCCCTGAACCCACTTAAGGTGAAACGGAGCAATTAATACACTTTGGGGATTCTTAAGGTCAGAGAATCAGTCTAGCAGGCTTGTACCCTTTCACAGGTGTGTAATCAATTGCAAAGAAATGTCAGAATAATTAAATATGAAAAATCAGGAAATGCTTTTGAAAATAGCCAGTTTTCTCCAACGCTGGTCGGCCGACCAGCGCTGAGCGCTGAAAAAATACACTTTTTCTTGAAAATGTCAGCACACCAGGAGCCACAATTTTAAAGGATGCTTTAGACCATCAGTCCCTAACAATTCAGTAAGGTAGTTCGTGATAATTTGATCATTTCGTTTTTTGATGTTTGCAAATGATGTGTCTTCCCTTTAATTGTACACTGCTGGTAAAAAGACAGTTTTATCTTTTCTTTTGATATCAATAATGGTGCTCAGTTTTCCATGACATCAGGGATATACATTTACATGCACGTAAAGGTATAAAAGAAGATTAGATTTCACCCTTTATGATGCATCTGTTCCAACCACGAGCAACTTAAACCAATTTCATATTTTTGAAATGACCAATATTTTTTAATAACCTTTCTCAATGCACACTGTATGGATGCTCAAAGATAGAATAGGTATCATTTTTCTTAAGACTGTTTCAAACAATTTTTTAAATTATCACTGTAAATTCTCTGCAAACCAGTCTTGAAGACTAGTATACATTAGTATATACAGGGAGTCCTGAAAATCATGCTGCATGTAAACCCCGCCATTTTCACCAATTTACAACCAGAATTTACTGCAAATGTTTACACGATCTTCAAGGTTACAGATTTAGCTTAAGAATATCATTTGTTTAAAAATGGGTTTCTAGGCTTTGCCGTTATTCAAACATATCTTTAGATTTACAAAAGCAATCTCAATGAAACAAACGGTATTCTCGAGCTAAATCTATTACCTTGAAGATGGTGTAAACATTTGCAGAACATTTTGGTTGTAAATTAGCAAAAGTGGAGGGGTTTTACATTCACCATTTTGTACATGTCCAGCGAAACACATAACCGACATTGCCAATTAGCACAAAATCAACTATATAATGTACAGGGTTATTAAAAAAAAAATATGTCCCTTTGGATAATTTTTTTGTCTCCCACAAAAAACAGGAAAGATTACAAGTGTTTCTCTTCAGCCAACACTTGATCTTGGTATTGACCACAGTCAGTACAAATGTCACTGATATTCATCCATGCATGCAAAGGATACAGACTTTGTAGAAAAACTTGTAACCTCTCCATTTCTGTGGGAGACAAGGAATTATCTAAAGGGATACCCTGTACATGTACAATGCCTTTAAACTATCTTGATCCACTTGTATCTTTGCAACTTTTGAATATGGCGCTGAATATAATTATCAAAAAATGTCACTTTTGTGAAGGTTTCTGCAGACGGGGACCTCCCCTCCCCGATTTGCGGCAACGAAGACTTCGACTTCGAAAATCACATCGGCGGCAACTCCGGCGTCGCTCCCGATACCCCGTTGTCACGACAACTGTCCTCTTCTTCTTCCACCTGTTCTTCCTCCTCCAAGGCGACTCAGCTCTTGCGGCACTTCCGTCAGCGGAAGGAAGACGTCATGAGCCAGCTGCAAGCCTTCCTGGATGAAAACGACGATCAGTCTGGAGGGGAGGATACAGGCTTAGCTCCCAAGGTACAGCAGATGCCCAGGATGCAATTTTTTTTTTCTACAACCAAGTATAGCCTGCCACATAATGTACATGCGTAATTTGTTAAAGGGAAAATACAACATTTGCAAACATCAAAAAATAAAACTACCAAATCATTTTGAAATACCTTGCTGGACTGTTAGTGAATGACAGTGTAAAGCATCCTGTAAAATCATGGCACCTGGTATACTGTCATTTTCAAGAAAAGTGCTATTTTTGTATCAATTTCCAACGCTGATCGGCCGATCAGCGTTGGAAAAAAACTGGCTTTTTTTCAAATACTGGCCCCAATTGACCATCGCACTTGTTTGCAATCGATTACACACCTATGAACGGGTACAAGCCAGCTAGACTGGTTCCCTGACCTTACAATTCCCCAATGTATGTAAACTGCTCTGTTTCTTCTTATATGGAGTCAGGGAACCTGACTACAGGAAAATGATTGTTTTTCTTGGTTTTTATAGCATTTTCGAACCCCAAACTTCAAAAAAGTCAGTGTAACTATATTTGCTATATATTCCAACCCCCCAATTCCATCCATTTCTGAAAATTACAGCAAAAGCAAATGATGTATATTCCCTTTAATGGAATGGTTCTTGAAGTTCACTTTCTTTAAAAAGAAAAACAAAATCTCTACATCAGTGACACAGAAGACAAGGAAATTGTATTCAATTGAAAAGGAGGACTTGATTGGACATGATTTTAAACAAAATTACATTTTGGGAGCAAAAAAAGGGAAAAAAAGGTGTTGGGGAAACCCAAACCTCTGATATTCCTATAGACCAATCTGGCGACAGCCATTTTCTGAGGTGGCACTAGGCTTGTGTGAGTCGAGCTCAGGTTGTAGACTAAACCGGTACTTGGGGCTCCTTCAACCAACAGAGTTACCAAAATGCGCAGGTATCTTAGTCTTTAATAATAATAACAATAATAATAATAACCCTGGATTGGAAATTTTGGGAGACATCCCCATGGTCTTTTCAAACTAAAATGTGTCCTAAATAACGCAATATTCCCTTGTCCTTTTTCCACGAATTTTGGTATGTTTACTAATTAGTAAACAGCAAAATGTTGCCTCTAAAGGGGGGCTGTGACATTAGGGAGACATGAAAATGTCTCCCTAATGACCGATGTCTCCCATCATGCGAAGAAATTACAATAACGTGTCTCCTTAGTGGTACCATTACACGTATAAAGATAAGTACATGTATAATAGTGGGAATTCATAAAGCTCATGTATCCACCAGGACTGGTGCTTAAGGCGCTACATCATTATTACCCCTGCTCATTGGGCCCATGAAACATTCCATCTCAGCTCCCTGGGGAGTATACAGCTCGATGTAGCCTGTTAGGCGCAAGGAAGCTAATTCAACCATGCACAATAACCATCTCTGCCGTCACAGGTACCCATTTACTCCTGGGTGGAGAGAAGCAATGAGTGACAAAGTGCCTTGCCCAAGGGCACATGCACCATGACCCCAGGCTGGACTTGAACCCACAACCTGCAGCTTTACCCGCAGACCACGAATCCAATGCCCTTAACCACGAGGCCACAGCATTCGCGTGAGCGTGGTACCATGTACTGCATCAACTGCTTCTAATTGTGGTCGACGGATTCCGCTATATCCACCTGCCCTTCTCACTAGGCTATGAAGCTACTATGATCTTCACTTGAAATGAAAACCTTTCAAAGTTATCTAAAATCGTATTGATTTTTCTCAATAACGTGATTCGTGCATGCAATTGATACGTCTAGCGATTCCGCCTGGTTGCAGACGAAAAATAAGTGCCCAGGATTTGCAGTTCAGCTGCTGTGGATTGTGTGCATTACCAGTAGATTTCCACATGTGAACTTCTCATGAGAGGTCAGAAAGCCTGCATGTGCTGATGTGCACATACAGCCACGGCGCAAATTAAACTAAAGTGCCTCCACTTGAGACAAATACCAGGATCTTTTTAAAAATAAAAACAAATAGCAGAAGTTTTAGTTGTGCCCCTCATGTGTTTTTGTCTTGTAGGCTGTTCTTATGGATTTCCTGCAAAAATGTCAGAACCCACTTAACATGTATTTGGGTCATTCCACCGGGTTGGGGAACAATGTGTGACATATGACCACATTAAGAAAAGCATGAATGCCTTGCTAGCAGTTGCTCTACATAATGTTTGTTGTTGGGTGTTTCGCTACTGCAGAAAGTTTGAAATCATTTCAATGTATTTTGCCAAAAATGTGGGCAAAAAATGTCGTTTAGGAAGTAACATCGGACACCGTGTCAGTGTTACGTCCAAATATGACTTTTTTTTTCAAATTTCTGCGAAACATTACCCAAATTCACTTTGTGTACTTCTTACTATACATGCAACACAATAAGAAAAGCTTTTGTTATGGTAGTCAGGTTTTTACACCGTTACATCCACACTTGAGGTATTGTTTCTGCTATACATGTATTTGAACCCTGACTCTACCAAAACAAAAGCTTTTCTTGGTGCTTAGGTGTCCAGTTGTAAATATGCAGTGTCAGTTTGGGTAACATTTTACATATGTGTAAAAAATGGCCAAAAAAAAAAGGATATTTGGATGTTTGGATGTAACATTGACACGGTGTCAATGTTACGTCCGAATAAATACATTTTTGCTCATATTTTTGTCAAAGTACTTTCAAATGATTTCAAACTTTCTCAAGTATTGAAACACCCTGAGACAAATATTATGTTGAGCAAATGTTTAGAATGCATTGATATTTTAATAATATAACCAATATAAATTTAAGAAAACAATTGGAACATCCCCCAATTGCTCCATGGACTCTGATTGTAACTGCGTTCATTTGCTAAGTGGTCTTCTTGGTATATTAATAGCCTGCCCATTCGACTTACCAGAGAGTTGCCATTCATTTTTTCCTTCAGCATTGAAGCTCTGGGGTGTTTTTGTAAAGGCCCATTGGTCATTGAATCCTGCAAAGTACACCCAGTCATTGGGAGTGCATTTCATGCAGCACCTCACTCGGCACTTTTTGTTGGCATGACTGTGAGCTCAGTGAAAGAGAACTTCCAGTGAAATCAGAGAACCGTTATTCAGTTCGAAAAAAAAATTAGGATAACTGGATTTTGAAATCTCTGATTTCTCTGACCACTTGGGGGTACAACACACAATGTGGAAATATTCAAATGAAAATCCAGAAAGAGTGACCTGAGCAAATTAACTGAACCCAGCAAAATGAAGACAAAATTTTAAGGACTTACAACCTTCCTGGACAAATGTGACCTGCCATAGCATAATGAGGAATAACCCCCAGCTTTGACTTTTCAAGTTATATACATCATGTTAAAGTGCAAATCCTGGTCTTTCCAATGATACCAAATTTATTTCTGTAGCTGAATTTATTCCAAAGATATGCCGCTGGATATTCAACAGTGTCCCGCCAATCTTTGCCAACCTCGTTTCAAGAAAAACGGCTTTGAAAAACAAGATACGCATTGCGCCGCCAACGGCAGTAATAAATGTTCTCAAGTTTTTCCACTTTTGGGGTATTTTTCCCCAACAAAAATACATAGTCAAAAGTGTGAATCTTGGAGACCTTGACTACTCAAAAATACAAAACAACCAATATCAGTTTTCACATGATTTTTCTACTATATCCGACTTCAGGCGTCGATTACTCAAAACAAGGTTGTAGGGGACATTCCTCATTTTGCCTCAATAGGTCACAAATGTAGCGCCCTGTGTGTGCATTGGATGAATGCAATTTCAAGTTGAGTTTCAAAAGAGACTTTATTTCCTTGAAATGATCACAGGTGGCTTTCACACAGCTTCTAGACAGCGAACTGGACTCCATGATAGAAAGGATGACATCGCTGGCTAAAACCAAGAAACAGTCGGAGCAGAGGTATGTAAGAGATGATATCACTTGCCAATTAGAATGCATCCGAATTAAATGGCTACGTCACGGCTGCAATTTACACATGTGCCTATGGAAGCCACTGAAGCCACTTCCCATAGACACGTGTTTCTGCTAGCCGTAGCCAAGTAATTTAGCCGTGTCTTATGTTCCTTACACTTTGTGGCATATTGTGTGAACATGCATCGGCACGTTTGGAAACATTTTTATTCTTTGCTCAAAATGGACTTTTTTTTAGATGCCTCATTAAAGAAATTGAGTAAATAATTTAATAATCTTACTGTTTTCACCAAGACTTGCAGAGATGCCAACCATTACTCTTTTGGAGTAATTATTAGGATTTTGAGGCATGTTACTACTCTTGAACATTCCAGCTGCCCTATACGCCAACATTGTGGCTACTCTGAAAAGTACTGTGGTTACTCTGAAAAGTACTGTGGTTACTCTTAAACTTGACTGTTGTCCTATGTATTTACATTAGCATTACTCTTTGCAGGAAGAATCATTACTATTTTGTAGTCTGTAAAGTTGGCATCTCTGAGACTTGCGACACTTTCAGAGCAATAATGTTTTTCCAAGCTTACTCAAATATTCATGATGCGTTCTGCAAAAATTTTTTTTTTTAAATTGAGCTGAGCCCAAATAAATGCAAACTTATTTCTCACGGGAAACTAAATTTCATGGCAGAAATCTGGTGGCATATTAATTTGTGAACGTCTGCCTTTTCTCAGAACATTTTTGAGAAATTTGAGAAAAAGTAAATCATTGAGAAAAAAAAGGCTATAAAAACTTTGCATTTCAAAACAGAGCTAAAGAACAGCAGTTTTGCCAATTTCAAATTCTAAGGAAGTTTTCCTGTTTTTCCCCCGACAGAGCCAACAAGCTTTCTTTCATGCTGCAGAGTTTGCAAGGTAAGGTGTATATTCGATTTTTTCATTGTGTCAGTTTGTTTAAACTTTGTTTAAAATTTATTGACATTTGGCACATTTGATTTTATCGGTTGCTGAAACTGGCACCGTTGAACAGTTGTGCATGGATCCAACTTACAGAGTAAATTTGCATGTGGGTCATTCTATAAATTTGGGGTCCAAAGTGTGACATTTTTCCCGTCCCTGTTACCTTGGTACTTTGTAATTTGCCATTCAAGCATCATTAAAAGTGACTTCAAATGATTGTTTATTTGTTGGGTAGGTAGTTTGCTATTCATATACACTCTTGGAGGATGACTGCATTAAGGAGTGCATCAGAATTATACAATCATAGATGTCAGATGTAACAGGGACGGGAAAATAAGTGGACCCCAAATTTATAGAATGACCCATTTGCACAAAAATATTCAGTGCTTCATGCTGCAAGATGGTGGTGTTGAATTTCAGTTTGGAAAAAAAATATTAACTGAACTCCGTGAACTACAAGGAGCCTAAAAATGCACTAAAACATCAGACAGGTCTTTTGTCCTTCAATTTTGCATATTTATTAAGTCGGATGGAAAGGTACTTAGGTTTTGAGAAGGAAATAATGGATCAATTTTTTGAAATCTGAGAAAGTTTGAAGGCTTCTTAGCAATTCCAATATCCCAGTGCTGAAGTTTTCTTGTTGAATATGCACTGTGGGGATGGAGGGGGGGATTACTTGAAATTGAAATAGTAGGTCAGTTTTGTTTTTTGTTACTGAGAGAGTGAATATAATCCTGATACACATATTTTTGGGCTACTAAAAATCTACCGCTCTTGAAATTGCGTGGAGACAAATCAAAACCAACAACTAAGGTGCATGTATATTTTTCCAAGTTTACTTTCATTCCCCCTGCCATCTGGTATAATTTTTTTAATTATTGGCAATCGTTAATGCACTTGAAATTAATAAATTATGGAGTTACAATAAATGAATCCATTTTGTAAATGCTAATTGGGTCTTCTAAGGCAAATGAGTAGAAAAACTCATTCGCAAACCTCTATTTTAGAAGATAAAGCTTTAAAGATTAAAAAAAATTGAAAAAGCCTTTTCGAACCTCTGAGATTTTTCAACTTTGAAATACATGGTATGCAATTTTAATCCACCGCACCTCAACATTAGAAGATAAAGTTTTAAATGTTTAATATTTTAAAGGCCTTTTTAAACCTCAGCGATTTTTCAACTTTGAAGTACATGTATTTCAATTTTGGTAAATATTTTAGTAGATTTCAAAACCAAGCTCTTGAAAAAGTGTCTTATAATTAATTGTTGAGTAGTTTTGGCCAAAAAAAAAAGTCTCCGGTTTCTGGTATGGAGCTTGCCCAAAAAGTGGTGCGGCGACGCGGCTTTTTTTTTTTTTGACCTGATTTTTTGGCTTCAAATGTCGGCTGATGACTGCAAATGGTGCCCGACTAAACTTAGTGCAAATATATGGGAGTCCAGAGAGGCCACATAAAGCTTATTCTCGACCATAACCCAATCTAAAAACACGTTAAAATTGTGCAGCAGCAGGATTCCAGTCAAACCAGTGAGTTTGGCGGTTTTGGGACATCATCTTTCATTGAAAAAAAAACTTTTTCATTTTGCCGACGCGCATGGCTTCGGCGACGCGCGCGTATACCAGAAACCGGAGACTTTTTTTTTTTGGCCTTAATGTGTAATTTTTTCCCGATATTTTTTCTTTGTAATAAAGATGACTATGTAAGAATCACTAAGAAGTACGAGGAGGCCATCAAGCACTGCAAGGAGCTAACGGCCACTAAGAGCCAACTGGAGACGGTCCGCATGGAAAACCAAACCCTGCAGTTCGACATCCAGAGGGGCAAACAGAAAACTGAAGAACTGGAGAAGGATGTAAGTTGACTTTCCAATTTTGTCAGCTCCGTCATTTTTTTCACTAAAACTGACCAAAAAAAGAGATAATTTGTCCAACATGGGGAGGGGTAGTAGTCCTAATATGTGATGCGATCAAGCAAAATGAGTCGTTTGTCGACCCTGGTCAAAAAGTTTTTTTTTTTACAGATTTGAAAAGAGCACAATCTCGGCATTACTGCTGTGAAAACCGCATGCTGATACCATCTTTAGTTTAAAAATTACGGAGGTCGGAACACCAAGAGATGTGATGAAGTGATGTGATGAAGTGGCCCTATTTTGGCCTGAATCTCCAAATGAAAATTCCCGACAAACGACTCATTTAGCTTGATTGCATCACATATATTGTCCATGAATGATTCTGCTGTTTTATTACCAGAGAGGGGAAATAATAAAATTGGAAAGCAAAATAAGCAACATAAAACAGCAGTTGGGACTGGATGGATGGCTTGGGGCTAGTTGCTCTAGATTGAGGGGGAATACGAAATGAATACAAATACGACTTCACTTCTTTGCTGCTGCAGAATTCACTTTGGATAAAGTGTATAGTTTAGGAGACACTTCTTTTGTCAATCCTCCTGAGCTTTGAGATGTACGCTTAAATCAACACTATAAAAGCAAAATAACTTCACATCCGAATGCAGCATGTTTAAAAAAATTTTGTGAAACTTTTTATTAAAAGGACAACTTGTATTGATGATGCCTTTAAGCAAAGCAATATGTTATGTCAAAACTTCGGAATTTACCTTGGGACTAAAGTTATTAAAATTTGGTTTTGTTGGTAGTATTTATTCACAGTTTTCCCTCCTTTTTCCTTACACCATTCCCCACAGCTTTCCTCATTACAGCGGGACCTAGAAACGGCTCACACGGCGCAGCAGAACTATAGACAAATGGCAGAGACACAACTTGGGGAACTTCGAAGGTAAGGTGTTAGGGAGAAATAGAGCCTCCTGTAGTTATACTCCCTGGCAGGGGCGTTGCCAAGGTGGGTGGAGGGGGGGGGGGGCACATCCCCATTAAAAAAATTGTCTCCCCAGTCGCCCCTCCCCCCCCCCCCCCCCTTACCGGAAGTTTGTTAGTCCTATAAGTGACGGTGGTTAAAGTGTTTAACAGAAATTGCCCCCCCCCCAACTGTAAGTTCCAGTCCCCCCCCCCACCAAACTGTAACTTCCAGCCCGCCCCCACTTGCCCCCCCCCCCACTCCCCCCCCCCCCCTCCCGATGGTGAGAACGATGGCTACACCACTGCTCCCTGGTTTGGTTGAAATGTTGGGATGGTGCTTTGAGGTTTCTGCCTTGGATATGGTGGTTGTTCTGGCAGCAGACTTTCCAATCTTTTAAGTGCAGTTGGTCATTTAGCAGAGATTTTTCATTCATTAATCACGCCATTGCATGGCCTACGTCATTAAGCGTGCATTTTTGGTTTCATTCACCACATTATAGAGCCGATTACATTGAGTGCTAGTTCATCTTGTCAGCAGGTTTTTCCCTGGATCAGCTATTGTCACTTGTGGTTTCTTGGTCCTTGCATTTCATCCTTTGAGTGGATGAAACGGAAAAGCCCTCTTACTATGATTGCATGTAGGTAGATGTTTTTGTAATTGCTTGTTCAGAGTTTATCTTTACTCTGCTCTGGAGTGCTGTGGCCTCGCGGTCTGGGGCATTGAACTCGTGGTCTGCGGGTAATTCTGCAGGTTGTGGGTTCCAGTCCAGCCTGGGGTATTGGTGCGTGTGCCCTTGGGCAAGGCACTTTGTCTCTCATTGCTTCTACCCACCCAGGAGTAAATGGGTACCTATGAGATGGTTATTGTGATTGAATTAGCTTCCTTGCGCCTAACAGGCTGCATCGAGCTGTATACTCCCCAGGGAGCTGATATGGTATTTGGAATGTTTCATTGGCCCAGTGATCAGGGGTAATAATTATGTGAAGCGCTTTGATATTAGTTAAAAGCGCTATATAAGAACCTGTTGTTGATATGAGATTGTCTCCTGTATTTTTGGAAGGAAATTTCCAAAGCTTGCTTTACATTGAACATGTATGTCAGTTGTGTCTAGATTTTTTTTTCATTATGATGTACCAGATGTCATTGTTGTTTTTATGGTCTATATCCTTTTCCTCAACAGATTATTTAAAGAAATGGAAAAGAAGTACAAGATTGCACAAGGTACTTTATTTGTACTAAGCAGTGTGAAAATATGCTAAATATGTAAAATAAAATCAGATTGATTAAAAACCAAACACAGGAACTGACAGAATCACTTTTGAGCAATTTTAACTCAATGGAACCATAGAAAGTTGACACAATCTGAATTGAAACCTGACACCTGTTCAGTTTACTTCATTTATCCTCTTTTTTTGTGTGTGATAGTTATTCCTTTTTTTGTGACGTTTGCTTGAAATGAACTTTATTTTGTTTTTGTTTTTAGAGATTAAAAAAAGGTAGCAGGGAAAATTGGCATATATTGACCAGGTTTATAGTTTTGCTGAGTATTGTGTACTTTTCCTGTTTATCTGTACCCCACCTCCCAAGAGACTGAGTAAAAGTGACCAAACAATGAAAGCAAGTCTTTAACATGTCCGGGTATAAAATGAATAATTTATTGTAGGTTCAAGCCCGCTCCAGTCAATTTCTTCGTTCAACTTTTAAAATAATTAGTTTGGGATAGTTTTCCTCAAAATTCAAATTTAAAATGGAAATGTTCTTGCATTTTGCTTTTTTAGATAACACAAGGAAGCAAGAGGCCTCATACAAGGTAAACTGATCAAATTAAACACAAATATTGTTTAAAAAATAAGGAAAGAACAAAATAAACAAATATGTTTATTTCGTGTTTTAGCCAAAAGTCAGTTGACAGGATTGAAATTGAAAAATGTTAGATAAGAACTTTGTGTGAAATAGCTTTGACTTTGGTGCATTCTTTGGCTGTTTATTTTGATCATGGACCCATCCCAAACTGCAAAAGTAAATCTCAACATTACTGTTTGTAATTCAACTAAAATAATGTATAAAACTTGTCATGGTCTCTGAAGAGGATAGACATACCATAGGCCTAAGTAAAATTTGAAAATTAATTAGAGCACGTTTAGACTTTGTTGGTCTCCTGTCATCTTTGAAGTCTTGAGACCCTTTGAAGTCTTAAGATTATTATTATTCGTGGTTTATTAAAATTCAACTTTGTTGCCAAAGGCAACATTGCATTGAATTCACAATGAGTGATAAAAGTTAATAAAAAGTTAAACTTCATTAAAAAAAGATTAAATTAGATTAAACATGGACAGAATCGTTGCACGATATCAAAAATATTACACATGTACACAAGAATTAAAAAGGGTGCCAAAGACAAAACATGCAATAAATAAAAAAAATGGGGAGTATAGACGAAAAACGCAAACCTTATTGCACAAAATTACAGAGGTGGAGTATTGAATTGTAACAGACAGTTTTTCTTCAGTAGTTGAACCATAGCTATAGCTCCATGGTTGAACCATGAATGGAATTGCACTGTTAGAAATCCACTCAAAAACATGCCCAGTACTTAAAGGGAATATACAACATTTGCAAACATCAAAAAATAAAACTATCAAGTTTTTACGAAATACCTTACTTGGATGTTGGTAAATGACAGTCAAAAGCATCCTGTAAAATTATGGCTCCTGGTGTGAAGTCATTTTCAAGAAATTGGTATTTTTGTATACATTTCCAACAGTGGTCGGCCGATCACCGTTGGAAAAACCTAACTATTTTTCAACTTCTGCTTCAAATTTACCATTTTTCAAGTTCAGTCCAAATTTTGTTTGCTATTGGTAACATGTTCATGAACGGGTGCAGGCCAGCTACACTGGTTCCCTTACCTTACAATTTTCCAGCATCTATAAATTGATCCATTTTATCCTTAGTGAAGTCAGGGGTATAGGGAAAAAACAGACTAAACAATGCCGTAACATCAATTATTGCATAAAAATGATTCTCTGCTGGTACACAGTGTACTGTGAAAAGTACTGTCATCAAAGGCCAACCTTGACTCCCCTATGATCCCTGCACAGGCCTTGCAGTACACAAAACTGTCGTACTGCCCTCTTTTGTACACTACAGGCCAAGGTTGCCCAGCAAGCCTCCACACACAGAGCCCAGTTGAAGTCTTTGCTTGATCTAGTGAGTAGAGACAGCTGTGTGGACCCACCACTGCTGCAACAAGTTGTCCAGTCTTCCCATGAAGTAAGTGTGTATTATTAGATCTATCTAATTGGTCCGGTGATGACAGTGCGTTGTAGATTTAGATTAGCTTATATGACACTGATCACATAAATATAATACCTGCAAACCTGGGACAGGGCTGTATCATGATAATGCTGTGTATATATATGTATATATATATATAGACACTGTACTCTGTTACTTTCACTGTGCACACTGATTGTACAACCACTGTGTTTAAAGGGAATATACAAAATTTGCAAACATCGAAAAATAAAACTACCTAGTTTTTACGAAATACCTTACTAGGATGTTGGTAAATGACAGTCTAAAGCATCCTGTAAAATTATGGCACCTGGTGTGAAGTCATTTTCAAGAAAATGGTATTTTTGTAAAAATTTCCAACGGTGGTCGGCCGACCACCGTTGGAAAAACCGAACTATTTTTCAACTACTGCTCCAAAATTAACTATTTTTTCTTTCAGTCCAAATTTTGTTTGCTATTGGTTACATGTTCATGAACGGGTGCAGGCCGGCTAGACTGGTTCCATTACCTTACAAGTTTCCGGCATCTATAAATTGATCCATTTTATAGTTAGTGGAGTCGGGGAACCAGACTACTTGAACATTTTTGTTTTTCTTGTTTTTTTCCCAGAATTTTCGAACACAAACCTTCAAACATGTCAGTCTAACAATATTTGATCTATTACACTAACCCCTCAAATAGTTATTTTCTGAAAATTACAGCAAAAGCCAATGATGTACATTCCCTTTAACTGTAACTTGCACTAGGGAGGACTCACTGTGAAAGTCGATAAGTGTTTTTTGCTATGTCTGTATATTACAAGATCGTCTGTGATTTCCTTCTGTTTTCTCAACACAACAGAAACTTTTGCACTCGTTTTTTTAATGATTTTGTTGTTAATGTGCATACAGGTGCCATACTGCAAGTGCAGTTTGGCCATGACTGAATGAACAAATATATACATTGTATTTGAGATATTTATATGAAATGACATTGTATTTGAGATATTTATATGAAATGATATTTACGTGTTCCGGTACAGTGGGATTAATTTGCAATTTCCTAATACGAGGAAATAGTCTCCATGAATTTGTTGAGACCAGTTAGTTGTTGCATATGGCTTTAGACTGTGTATAATTAAAGTTTAGTGCTCATCAATCACCCAGTTTTACGTGCATGTTTTGATAAATTTCGTAAATTATAATAGTTTATGCAATAGTACCCGCTGCTATGTACATCAGATTCGAACCAGCCAACCGATCCCGTTAGCTCGGTGGTCGAGTGGTAAGACATCTGCACTAGAAAGCAGGAGGTCGTGGGTTCGAGTCCCACCCGAGTGATTTTTTTCCAACTTTCACTCGGGAGGTAACACACTGAGTATACAGTGTTTAAACGTCGGTGAAGGGCAAAACCTAATTTGATTTATATCACCCTGACGCAAAACAAATTCCATGTTATGATAAATGTTGTCTTCATCGGGGTGTAAACTTTATGATTTGTAAAAGAAAAAAGGAATCGCGGGATAGTATGGCAACTTACACTTCCAGCCTGTTTCACCTATTGAACTACTTGTCTTGAGCTCGACCTCTCTAATGTTTACAAACATGTTGTCCTTGGGTGTCATTTCAGTTTCACACTGTCATTGTGTACGTGACACTTAAACTGTCTGAAAACACTGCTCTGAGGGACAAAGACGTTTTGTCTTCCTGGTATGTTCTTTAAAGGCTGCTTTGGAATGTTTGTTGAGATTCAAGGAAGTACTTGGAATGGAATTCTTACAATTGTTTCCGTGAAGGACGATCCCTGCATCAAGAGGCTTTTGTCATGGGGAAATTGTGGGTCTCACAATGGCGCTTAATTTATCACCACTTTTATAGCCGTCTGATTTCTTTTGGAGCAAGAAGATTTTGGTGCAACCATGGTGCAACATTCTTCCACTGCACTGATGTGGCAATTTGTTGTGCAAATTTTTTTTCTGAGAATCATGACAATTAATTTGTATTACTATACAAGTGTTTCCAATTTGTTAAATTTGTCTATTCAGTAATGTTTAGCAATAGGTTTTCAGAAAAAAAGTTCGAAAATGAAACTTAAATTAAAACAAATATAGAGAAGTTTGATAGTTTCTATTTAGGGGTAGGCGTGGGGTTAGGGGCCCTTCCTTTAGCCTGATGTAGTGTAGAGAGTCCAAAAAGTAAGCATATCCAGAAAGTAAACTACCGATACTAGGAGTGGTAAAATATAACAAATTAGATTTTACGTATCAAGAAACAGTGTTTATTTCATCTAAAGAACACAGAGCCTAATGTCTCAAAAATTGAGTGTTTATAGTATACATTGAGTTGACGTGACATTAGGCGTCATGTACTTTCATGTAAGAAATTCCTGCTTGGCAAAACAGTTATTGACACAATCTTCCTCGTTGTTTCCCCTTGTTGTACACTGCACATTATTCATGTATGATGTATAATGTACCAGTCCAAGGCCTTTACCATAACATACGTCAAACCACAAGACATGTGTCTGTGTATGTACAAAAACCGAGTACATGTATGCTTGCATTTTCCCCAGTGAAAGTACCGGTAGGCATCACGTGATCATATTCAACGCTCAACAATTTGCATTTGAGTCAAATAGTCTGATCAGGAAATCTTTCATGTAATCCTGGATAGTATACAGGATGTATTTATTGAAAAAAAAAAAAAGGATGAAAAGTAAAAGTGAAATTGATATTAGGACGTGAACATGAAAAATAGTTTGCAAACATCGTACTGTACATACATATACAATGTCTTTTTTTTTTCTTATTGTAACTCCCATACAAGTGTGCCACAAACCTTTGCAAAAAATATTGGGGGAAAACTGATTATCAGTACCCAAACAAAATAACATTGAATTATAATACAATTCTATTGCGAAATTTTGTTTTGAAATGATGAATGAACTGATTATTGATTGGCAGAAACGTTTATTTGTTTGATTTTTTGTAAAAACACAACATTACGTGCAGTTGGAAGCAATTGACGTCAACTTGTTTCTCTCGCCTCCTGGTTTCAAGTTGATTATTTTGAAATTTGTTCTTTGGGAACACTATCGAGAGATGGATGAAGCGATAAAACAGACAGAAACAGTGAATGTGATACAAGGAAGAAACATACGAGTATTTCCTCCGTGATGTAGAATAATTTCAAAAGCAGTGACAATGTTAGGACCTTGAAACTTTTAGTCTTGAGATCACATCCTTTGGAGACATAGTAGAATCACAACTTCTGTCACAGGATCACATTGAGTAGGTAAGTGTTGCATACTTTGTTTTGTTAAAGACACCTTGGATCAATTGCAATTACCGTGAAACGTAGCTACCGATTTTTTTCAAGAAAACCCTTGCTCAAAGTCAAGATGGGACTGGTACCAAATACCCTGTGAAAATATTCCACCAGAAATGGTAGCTTTTGGAAGTGACAAATCATTGAAAGTGGCTTAAGAAAATGTGCCAATGGGCAATTTTTTTTTTAACATGCGTTTACAACAAAATCCTGTTACGATATCCCCAAAAATGTGCATACGCTTTCTATACATGTTTTTCTCCAAATGTGTAGTATCCACTAAGCTGAACAAGTTTTATTACCAATTTTGTTGCTTCAAATGAAAAATTGCACAAAAGAAAACTGTTCGTTGTACGTTTTTAATTTATATGAAGGCCACTTTCAAAGTAGTTATTCGGATATTGCAGGCATGTATCTTTCGCTTGTATTTATCGGCAGATTTGAAAAACAGTGAAATCAGGATAAAAAAGATCACTAAGAAGTAACAACTCTGCATGCAGTACAAAATAGTAATAGTGTCCAATATGCAATGCGCAGCCTTTTTAGTGTTACTATCACAAAAAAAAATGTTTTTTAATTATATTGGATTTTATTATAACCTGTTCAACCAATTATATTGAATACGAATGCCTTATAAATGCACAGTTGTGCTGTACATGTACCATGTACATACCATCATAGTTTCAGAATCGTACAGGCTGTAAACATTTATGGTCCTGGTCAAAGCTTGTTATGAGTAGGTGCATGCCCAAAGTATAAATTATAATGCGATTCTTGTTTTTTTTTAAATCAAATATTATTCTATTGGAATGAACACAGTATATTTTCCACTGCGAATTTCTGTATGCTTTGTAGCGAAGGGAATTTCACAAGTGAGTGTCGTAAAACAAAACTGTATGAAATTTAACTGTTCAAATTGCATACATGTACGATACAGTTGTGCATATAAACATGTAGTTTGCCCTTTTCCAAGTATGAATATGTTAATAATTACAGTCCAAATTTATGTCAAACAAGCAATGCGGTGTGAAGTACATGTCCGTCAAATTGCTTTTTGATAAAGCTATCAAAGTTATTCACTTAACAATTATATAAATAACCCAAAAAATCATGCATTACAATTCCCCCATATTCACTGTCGAAATACCCAACGCACTTTCCTGAAAACTCAATGAAATTGGAAAATGCCATGGAAATGTTAAACAAATAAATTAAAAACCCTCGCAGTGCAGGACATAAAACTGGTCTATACAACTGGCCCCAGATTATTTTGGTTGGGAAAATATTTATTGGTGGAGCGGGTCCTCAGCTGAAAGAATAAAAAAATATACACATAAACTCTAAATAGCTCACTCTGGAGCTTGGTGAAGAATCTAAGCACTGTTTTTTTTTTCTCGAGTTGAATCTCTTGTACACATAGGGAAATGAAAATCAGCAGTTTCGATATAACACAATATTGCGTGGACTTTTAAAGAGAGACTTTTGAAGGAGATACTTTAGAAGGTCCTTTTTTTTAATGGCCCAAAAGGGTGTTGTGCATGCATGTAGTTCTCTGATATTGTGGTCTCTTGACAGGGAACTGGACAAATTAATAAAATCTTGAAAGTTCAAGTACTTTGGGAGAAATAAACAATGTGTACACATGAGGCAAGCTTTGTTGCTGGTTAAAGC